GGGGGTCAAATGACCCTTTCACAGGGGTCGCCCGATTCATCACAGTAGCAAAATGTCAATGATGAAGTAGCAACAAAAATAATTTTAAGGTTGGGGTCACCGAGGGTTGAGAAACAATGCCTTAGAGAGTGTTTGTTGAATGACTGAGTGAGTGGAGAGCACGGCTTGACTTCCCCTCAGCCGAGGCCATGCCCAGTCCCACTCTAGGACATCTGTGCTGGACACGGAGCCGAGGAAGCAGGAGTCTCCAGGGCGAGTGACCTGAGCGCTCAAACACTGACCTACTGACAGGTCCAGACCTGGGCAGGAGCCAAGTGCTGACGTCGGTGCTGGTCTGCGGGCCAGCTGAGAACATTTCTCTCTGTTCCAAGCCCATAGCCACCGGGAGGAGAGCACATCTGCTCTGTTTGGAAACCATGCTGGGAGGGAACGCTGGGCTGGTCACATCACTTCCAGGGTCACTTCAGGGGATACTTGCTGGTCCCAGGAACGAGAAGGGAGAGAGGGGCAGAAATCAGAGGGAGTCAGTGTAGCCCCGAGCTCAATCTTCGATGTGCCCAAGGCTGTCTCCCAGCTCCTTCTCCCAGCTGGTTTGTCCAACAGCTCATCAGGCTCCCGTGCACCTCTGCAGGGCTCCTCTGGACCACACACCGTGATTATGCGAGCAGGAGTCCTGGAATCAGTTGTCTCAGGGACAAGGCCCAGTTGCTCAGCTCAACAACTTACTGGCATGGTGACTCTGGACAAGTCATGTCACCATCTGAAGTGTAGCGTCCCGGCCAGCGGGACACGCGAGCAGGGCCCTGGAGGGAAAGACGAACCTGGATGGAAAGAAAGACACGGAGACGTGGAGCAAGACAAATGCTGATCAAGCTCGATTATTTGGGCAAAGTTAGGGGAATATAAAGAGGAACTGGGAGGTGCATATTCTAATAAGGTGTGCTGCACAGTATCCAATCCAACATGTATTATTATAATGAAGCATAAGAATGTTAACCAATCGGCTATCCATCATATTCTCAATATGGTATGTCTGTAGTCCAATGAGTGCTTAGTATTTCAACCAATGGGTGAAGAGAGGGGAGGATAACCAACCAAGGTCACGTAGCTGCAGAACAGTTACAGCTGCACAATAGTCAAAGAACACTTCGGGGGGAGACGGGGGGGGGTGGGGGGGGGGGGGGGGTAACACAAACTGCAAGCTGTCTCAGACATTTTCATAGAACAAGGAATCTTTGGTGACTAAGATATCTTTTAAGGCATAACCACCTGCCAGTTATTTTCCATTAGGGCCGGTCACTGAAGGACCTTGAGAATGTCTGCTAGGGCCGGCTCCCAACACGGAAGCTCCGTTTTCTCATGGGGGACAGGCACTCTGACTCCTTTTCCATCACGTGCCAGATGTCTGAGCCAGGTCCCACTAGGACTGTGAATTGAAGTGCCTGTATGCGGCTTGGGCTTCTCCCAGCATGGCACCCCCAGGACACCCCCAAAGCAAGTGTCCCATGGTGGGTGCCTCCAGAGAGCCCTGTGGAAGTGACGGGACCATATGAGTGGGGTCAGAAAGACCCTTTTGTAGTGGGTCTCGGTTCCTTTTGCCTGCCCCGCCCACTTCCCCCACTTCTTCCTTCAATGTTTTTAGAGAGGCCCCACTGTCCCACCCCTAGGGCTGTGATCCTGTCCTGGGCCACTCTGGTGCTTGGTCCTAGTCCCTTGCCACCTCCTGTCCAGAGGCCTGGCCCGTCCTTGTTCCCCACACAGCCAGAAGCAGGGTGAGGCTGGTGAGGCCACTAGGGCACAGAATTAAGGCGTGCTCACTCAGAACTTGGAATTACAAGAGAGATTTGGCTCAGTGGTCAGACAGACGGGTGAGTGCCCCGAGAGTAGGGCCCTTACCCTCCAGGTCTGAAACTGAGCCCATCTGCATGTGGGGATAATCAACTGCGTGTGAGCACAGGGGCAGCATTTACCCAGGACCACGTTGAGAGGGTTAGGGAAGGAGGAGGCCTGGGAAGGGGAACACCGAGAGGAAGTGGGATCCGTGACCGTCCATTGAGGGGGCGGCCATGGATGAACTGAATCAGAATGCGTACACGTTGCTGGATGTAACGCTTCAAACTGCTCTGTAACCCTTCCCGCGACTCACGATAGAATGTTTAAAAAAGAAAAAGGACCGTTCGCTCTAGCACAGCGGTTCTCAACCTTCCTCATGCCGCGACCCTTTCATGCAGGTCCTCCTGTGGTGGTGACCCTCCAACCATAACATTATGTTCATTGCTACTTCGTCACTGTCATTTTGCTGCTGTGATGAATCAGGTGACCCCTGTGAAAGGGTCGTTCGACCCGCAAAGGGATCAAGACCCACAGGTTGAAACCCGAGGCCCGAGGTGACCCCTCTCTCAGGAGGATTTGTTCTCAGTGAGATGCAGAATCCGCATTCAAAGGCGAAGCCGGCCTTAGATTTTGCATCAAAGTACCACGTTGCTGCCTTCCCCTTGTCCCGTTACACTGGTCCATCGGAGCCGGGATTGGCAGGCACACTTTGGAGATGGAAGAGCCAGTCGTGTCCCTCACAGCAATTTAAAAATTACTCAAGAGCCATGAATATATTTTGACAAATAAGGAACATTTACAGTAGTATTATAGATGCAGTGATGATCGTCTCATTTTCAAGTTTACTTGCGAGCCACATGAGCCAAAAGAGCCGCGTATGGCTCTCGAGCCGAAGCGAGGAAGAGGCATAGACACCAAACCAGACCAAAGGCCTTGCCTGGGAGACCGCCTCACCGTCCTCAACGAGATTGTGAGCCCAGGACTGCAGGCACCTCCGTCCCCCCTCCCCAAATCTCTGTGGAGGTCCTACCCTCTGTACCTGGTTGGAAGGATGGGTCATGCTGAAGCACACTGGGCCCTAAACATTTGCCAGGTGGTTTATAAAAGACAACAGAGTAGACCCAGAGGCACACATGTGGAGAGATGCTATGTGAAGATACACACGGCAGATGCAAGCCCAGAAACCCCAGGGAGATGCAATCCCATGTGTACCAACACTCCACAATCCCTTATGCACCAGTGCTCCACATTCCCATACACTCCAACACTCCACAATCGCACACGCACCAACACTCCACAATCCCACACACATCAACACTCCACAATCCCACACACATCAACACTCCACAATCCCACATGTACCAATACTCCACAATCCAACACGCACCAACACTCCACAATCCCACACGCACCACTACTCCCCAATCCCACATGTACCAACACTCCACAATCCAACATGCACCAACATACCACAATCCAACATGCACCAACACTCCCCAATCCCACATGCACCACTACTCCCCAATCCCACATGTACCAACACTCCACAATCCAACACGCACCAACACTCCACAATCCCACACGCACCAGCACTTCACAACCCCATCCACTCCAACGCTTCTGCAGTGTGGCTGGCAACTTCCTTCCTAAGAGTCCCAGCATGGACAGGGAGAAGAGTGACTTTACCCTGGGGAGCCAGGTGAGCACCACCTCAGCCAACTTTCGAACCAGAAAGAGGCCAAGGGCCTTCCCCGGGAGTCAACACCCTGCATTCAGACTCGTCAGCAACAAAGTTGAGAAAATCCATTTCTGTTCCGGAAGCACAGGTAAGACAGGCGAGAACCCCGTAAGTGACTCGGAATCTCCGGGGATTTGTCTAGTCTCTTCCACTCATTTCTGTTGTTCAGTCCCGACTCGTGGATTTGCGTTTCTGGGTTGACTTAAATACGAGTTTATTTTGCTGCTCAAATTGTTCCAGCCAGCCACCGGGAGCTTTTCCCTTGGCTCCCATGTCCCGGTAATACACACCCCCTCATTGTGGGGTGGTGTTTGTTTGTTGGGGGTTTTTGTTCGTCGTTTGGCTCCTGTGAACACTCCCTTGGCTTCGGGCACTCCACAATTCACAGGCTCATCGTGCAGCGCTCCCGGTCTGGTTCTGAAATGAGCCGTTTCTCCAGGAAGAGTGGCTTGGGGGGCGGGCCTTGCTGCTAATGAGGTGGTCTCTGATTTTTAAGCCTCTTGCAATCAGGCTCAAAGCCCTGGCAGGAATCTAACGTTAGTAGGTGCTTGGTGGCACTGTGGGTTAGGTGCTGGTCTGCTAACTGGTAGGTCAATGGTTGAAGCCCACCAGCCACTCCTTGGGAGAAAGATGAGCTGTCTGCCCCCACAAAGATTTACAGTCCCGGAAATCCTACATAAGGTTGCTATGGGTTGAGATAGACTCGCTGACAGTGGGTTGATTCATTTGGTTTTGTAATCGGGCACGCTGTTACTTGTGGACAAATAATATTAATTGATTAACCACAAATATCTGGGTGAAGGCTGTGTCCAATCTAGCTCAGAGGCAGGGAGGAAAAAGAGCACAGGTAGATGTCTTTATAGGGTGGTCCATGGCTCTTCTCTTAGGCTGGGTTCTCTAGAGAAGGAAACCCAGTGAAGCGTATCTATGTATATGTACAGAGAGGTTTGTATCAAGGAATTTACTCACATGGCTGGAGAGTTCCAAGTCTGGGCACGGTCCAAGTCCATGGGTCAGATGTTAGGCTGGAAGCTTCTTCTGCTATGTGTAGTTGTCAGGGATGAGGAACCTGTATTAGTCTGGGTACTTTAGAGAAACAAATCCACAGAAACTCATGTATAAGAGAGAGTCTTATATAAAGGTTAAGTGAGCATCAAGAAAACATCCCAACCCAGTGCTGCCCAAGCCCACAAGTCCAACATTAACCCATTAACCCATATGTCCAACACCAATCCACAAAGTCCTCCTCCGTCTCACAAAACAGACACAACAATGCCGAATGCAGGAGGAAAGCTGAGTCAGTGAATGTGTAAGCATCTCAGCGCTGGCAGGGGTCTCCACATGGGTGCTCCAGCACCCAGGGCTGCATCGGGGGAGGTCCATGTGGCCTCTCCTTGGGGATGTCTTGTAGGAAGTCAGTCTTGCAAGCTGAAGCAGGGAACTGCTAAGGCAGCTGCACCCTGGTGTGACCATCACAAAGCAAGAGACCCGAGAACTAGAAAGGCGAAGCTCACCAAGCCATTTATCCCTCCACCCTTCAATTAACCCCACATGTGTTTATCGGCCAGGTTGGCACAATAAACTGACTCAGAACCCAATATAGACAGGAATCAGACAAGCTTATGGCTGCAGAGGAGAATGAGTCCAAGGTCAGCAGATCAGATGGAAGGACACTGACAATTCCTAGGATCAACAGGCAATATGGAGGCAGCTGGCTCAAGTTCAAAAGACCAGACATCGTTAAGCCAGATACAGGATCCAGACTCAGCAAAAATAAGGAAGCTTTCCCGCAGCATCTATGATACTGGGAGCAAGTCATAACCTCACCCTCAGGGAGATCACATCAGGGGGGATTACCAGGTCCTAACTGCCAAACCACTGGGAGCCCCTGCCCTGCCAAGTTGACGTGTATCACGCTCAACGGTAGGTCATGTACAGTATTTCGGATGTGGAGGTGAATGCCAAAGGAGAGGCAGAGAAAACGACCTACAACTGAGTATCTGGTGCTGCCTTTACTAAGATGGGGAAGACTGGGGAGGGCTCAGAAAGGGGATGGAGCAGTAGGGACTTCATTTCCAATATACACAGTGCCTTGCCAAGTTCTGCCCTTTGCTGCTGGCAATGAGATGGTTCCATTAGGAAGGAGAGAGAGCTGGCAGGCTTAGGAAGAAGGAAGCTCAAGGAACCACTGCATTTAATATGGCTAAAAGGTTCTCCCTGGACCTCATCCAAGGAGGACTCTCACGCCCTGTGCTGGGGAGGGATCACCCTGGATTTCCCTGGCACCTGCCACCTTAGAAAAGGCTGAGTAAGGGACGGTTGGGTGAGGAGCATGAAGCTGAGAGGTTGGGGTTCACTTTCTGCTTGTCCCCTGACTCACTGTGTGACATTGGACTTCACTCTTCTCTGGACGTCAGTTTTGAAGGGCAGGATCATGGGGACATAACAGATGTGAAGCAGGGCATTGGGTCCCACGTCAGTCATGGAATGCTCGCGCCATTGCTGAAGGTTCCAGAGAAGAGCACCATTGCAAGAGAGAGAGCATGTGTGATGGGTCAGAACATATGTCCAGGAAGGTACTGGGTTCAAATCCAAGTCTGTCTCCTCACCCACTCCCACCACCTTACTAACCTTATGCATTCTTGAACAAGTTACACAACTCCTTCGAGTCTCATTCTCTTAGGTTATACACTAAGATGGCAGGACACTGATCACTCCCAGGATAAACAGGCAGCTGGCTCAAGTTCAAAAGACCAGACATCATTAAGCCAGATACAGGATCCAGGTTCAGCAAAAATAAGCAAGCTTTTCCACCGCATCTACTGATATTGGGAGCAGGCCATAACCTCACCCTCAGTGGGGACACTCTTAACACCTTCCCCATAGAGGGTTGCAAATATACCACAAGTTAACACACGGAACCTTCATAGACTAGCACCAGGCAAGAGTAGGTGCCTCTTACACAGTGGCTGTCGTTCATCATAAAGATTGACAGCATCCTGGAGCCTGGCTCTTGTTGATCATTGCTACCAAGTTGATTCTAATTTGCAGTGAAAATGAGAATCACTCCATAGGGCTTTCAAATTGTGACTTTTCGGGAGTTGATTGCCAGGCTTGTCTTCCGAGTCACTTCTGGGTGGGTTTGCTTCGCCAACCATCTGATTAGCAGTCAAGTACCTAAGGACAAGTTTGCACCACCAAAGGACTGTGGACCCTGGCTGGTGCCCCCAAAATACCTCCTAACCAAGTTGCTTAGAACCCTGGCGGCATATGTTGGGCCACTGACTGCAAGGTTGGCAGTTTGAAACCACCAGCTCTCCACAGGAGGAAGTTTCTGCTCCTGTAGGGAGCTATAGTCTAGAAACCCACGGGGGGAGTTCTAATCTGTCCTATAGGGTGGCTAAGAGTCAGAATCAACTCAATGGCAGTGAGTTTGAATTTTGGACTAAGTTGCTTCCTGCTGTAGCTTGACTTAGATCCCTCTAAGTGTGTTGGAAAGCCTAACCTCTTTGCCTGTGATTATCATCCTGTTTGGGCATGGCTTGTCAGTGAGGCAGGATTAGTAGAGGGTGCTGGCTTGAGGAAATCTCTTTAGAGATATAAAAGATTAAACAACGAAGCACAGGGGAGACTGGGAGACATATGGAGATCCCCAAGGAACCAGAAAATGCCTTTCCCCAGAGTTGGTGCTATGAATTCAGACTTCCAGCCTCCTGAACTGTGAGAAAATAAATGCCTGTTCATAAAAGCCACCCACTTGTGATAGCTCTGTGATACCATGACTAAAGAGCTAAGACACATCCCATTCATTTCTTACCCATTTACTGGGCACATCAGCACTTGCTGATCAAGGATTGCAGCCTTCGGTATGGATTACCATTCAATGAAAAGAAGATCAAAATCCCCACAACTGGACCAATAGGCAACATCATTAAAAAATGGAGAAAAGGTTAAAGTTGTGAAAGATTTTGTCTTATTTGGATCCATAATCAATGCTCATGGAAGCAGCAGTCAAGCGATCAAAAGACTCGTTGCATTCTGTAAGTCTGCTATACAAGACCTCTTTAGAGTATTGAAAAGCAAGAATGTTACTTTGAGGACTAAGGTGTGCCTGACCCACGCCATGATCTTCTCTACTGCATGATATGCATGTGAAAGTTGGCCACTGAATAAGGAAGGCCAAAAGAGAATTGATGCACTTGAACTGTGGTGCTGGAGAAGAATATTGAAAGTTCCATGAATTGCTACAAAGACAAACCAATCTGTCTTGGAAGAAGTATGACCAGCGTGCTCCTTAGAGGACAGGATGGCAAGATTTCATCTTACAATGCTTTGGATATGTTGTCAGGAGAGGCCAATTCCTGGAGAAGGACGTCGGGTTTGGAAAAGTGGAGGGCCGGCAAAAAAGAGGACGGCCCTCAAGGAGATGGGTGGACACAGTGGCTGCGACAACGGGCTCAAGCAGTAGCACGATTGTGAGGACGGCCCAGGACCGGCCCGTGTGAGCAGCAATCAACTCGAGGGCACTAGTTGCTTGCTGTGTATCAGGCACTGTGCATGGATCCTACTTATGTCAGCTTACGAAAAATCCAAGGACACTCTGGGGCAAGTGCTGTTATTTCCACTCCCATTTCCCAGAGTAAAAGATAGATTTTTAAAGGACATATAGTTGGAAGTGTTTCCGCAGCACCTGCTGTGTGCACAGTGCTAACTCTTCCATCCAAGAAACCAGTCCTTAATTCACTCGTTCAAGTCTCTAGAAGCCCCCTACCTGCTCGCTCCTGGAGATACCCTTGCGGGAAGGTGGGCACCCCTCATCTTGGAGGAGAAAAGAAGGCCCTGGAGTAGGTAGGCAGGGGCAAGGGCAAGGGGACAAGGGAGAGGAAGGACGACTCTAGGCTAGACAGGCAAACGCTTCCGCGGCAGCCTTTGCCTGAGGTAGGACTGCGGTTTCTGCCTGTGCAAATACCGCCGGGATCCTGGGTGGTCCACTCCTTCCTGCGGGTCCCACGGGGAGCGGAGGTGGCCCTGGAGAGGGCCAAGGGAGAGAGCGACAGCCCAGGGCATGCTCCCTCAGCCTCCCTTCCCCACTGCACCCTGCACTCTATGCCTGACCCCAGGAGGCCAGGGGCGGTGCCAGCAGCTGGTGGGGGTGACCGGCGGCGGTGGCTGGGACAACCAACTCAGCCCAAGGGAAGAGGCAGCCTGAGGGGGGGTCGTGGGCAGCAGCGTGGAGAGAAAGGCTACCGAGGCAGGAGTCCAACCCACGCCGCGCGCCTCCTGGCGGGGCCACCAGACTTCGTGAGTCCCCCAGCCAGGAGAATCTGCAGAGTGGAGGTAAGACCGGAGAGGGTTGAGCCAGTCAGCCCTGGAGGACGGCATGGGGGTGGCCGGGGGGTGCCAGGGTCAGTATCCAGAGTGCAGTCACGCCCCTGCAGCAAACCCCCTGCGGGGAGGGCGCCAACGCAGGCCCAAGAGGGGCAGCGTGCCAGCTGAGTCGCTTGCCGCCGATCTGTTCCAGCCCCTGGGTCCTCCAGCCCCCAGCGTCCCCGGTGGCGGCAGCTGCGGCAGCTAGACCCTGCCCGGTGCTGGAGAATCCAATTCAGCGGTGGCCCGGGAGAACGCCCAGCTCCCGCCAGGAAAAGCGGGTCCCCAGAGCCCCAGCCCACTGTAGCAGCCAGGAGTTCGGGGCGCAGCGCGGACAGAGGCGCATGGAGAACGCTACCGCGGCCCCTGAGCGCGCGAATGCCTCGGGCTTGGGCGCCATGCCCCGACCTCCGCTGGAGGTGCAGGCGGTGACCCTGGCCCTGGTGCCCCTGGTGTGCGCAGTGGGCGTGGCTGGGAACGGCATGGTAATCCTGGTGGTGGTCCGGAGTCGCCACATGGTCACACCCACCAACTGTTACCTGGTGAGCCTGGCCGCTGCAGACTTGCTGGTGCTCCTGGCGGCTGGAGTGCCCGCTGTGGCTGAGGTGGTGGCCCGCCGGGTTTGGGTCTTCGGCCACGCGGGCTGCCTGGGCATCACCTACCTGCAGTACGTGGGCATCAACGCGTCCACCGGCTCCATCACGGCGTTCACGGTGGAGCGCTACCTCGCCATCTGCCGTCCCCTGCGCGCCCAGGCGCTGTGCACCGTGGCGCGGGCCAAGCGCATCGCGGCGCTCGTGTGGCTGGGCACCGGCGCCTACTGCGTGCTCTGGCTCTTCCTGGTGGACACGCGCGAGGCCGCGTACGCCGACGGCGTGCAGGTGCAGTGCGGCTACCGCGTGTCGCGCTCTCTCTACCTGCCCGTCTATTTCCTGGACTTCATGCTCTTCTACGCGTTGCCCCTGGGCCTGGCCACCGTGCTCTACGCGCTCATTGCGCGAGTCCTCTTCGTCGGGCCGCTGCCACCTGGCGACCCGGGCCACGCGGGCTCGGTGCACCAAGGTGGACCCCCGGGCCAAGCACGCTTCAGTTCCAGGGCCCGGAAGGGCGCCCTCAACTCCAGGAAGCAGGTAGGATCGGGCCCCCCCACCCCCACCGCACCTTGGGATTGAGCCTGCCAGAAGGGTAGGTGGTTGCCAGAGTGGGACTTCTCCTGCTCAGATCTCTCCTAAATCTCGTGTTTGGGGAGACATCACTTTGCCCTTCTGAGCCTCAGTTTCCCTTTCTGCTATTGGGGAATGATGGCACTGCCTACCTTCCACATGGAACTGCCTAGAGAAATCAAATCGTCCACGCAGCCTGTGTAGGCCAATGCATACATAAAGCACATGCTCAATAAATGCAGGTTATTGCTCTCAGAGGAGTCCCTATGGTGCAAACGATCAATGACCCTGGCTGCTCCCTGGAGGGCTGGAGGTTCAAGCGCACCCCAAGAAGCCATGGAGGGCAGGGCTGACAACCTCTTTCTGAAAGAGCAGCCACTGGGGACCCCAGGACGTCCAGTTTCACTCTGACACACCCAGAGATGCCTGGAGTCCAATGATGCCAAGGCTGCTGGTTGTACTATTCCACGTCCTCCACAGGTAGCTTTACCTGGTCGCTGCTATTGTCTTTCTACTGATGGGGGAGTGAAGGAGGGGAGATGAGAGGAAATGATTTTCCCAAGCCCACACTGTTCCATATGACCAGTAGCAGCCCCGGGGACCTGGAGAGCCTAAGACTGAAGACATTCCCTTCCTTGGGCTGAGACTCAGCGTTTACTGAGCACTTACCATGTGCCTGATTCGGTGACTGTTCTTGGTCTCATCCCTGTTGGGAACCCACGTACGGGAACTGCTGGTTTTTCCCACGGACCCTCTCAGAATGTGCTGCCCAAGGGTTTTTACAAACTGCACTTAGGAGGAGCCCAAGCATCCTTTTCTCCCACCTCCATTCCTGGCTTGGGGGGTGGGGGGAGTCCCTCACTGACCTCTCAAAGTCCCTCTGTCGCCATCTCTCTACTTCCCCTGACAGGTTTCTTTCAACCACTTCAAACAACCTCTGTGGTCCAGCCAGCTTGCTGGCAGCTTCGCCAGGCTGTTATTAGAGGGAGGGGGCGGGATTGGGCTCAGTGCGTTTGATGGCTTAATCCCAGGCTGAGGGCCCATGTGCCTCCAGCTCCGGACCATCGCTCCTCCCCGCCTCCCACTAGCCTGTTAAATCACTCTTGTTTACCACCCCTCGGCTGCGCTGGGTGCCCCCCCCCCCTCCAGTGTGTCCTTCCAAAACCAAACTCACAGCCCGTTCCAATTCATGTAACCCTGAGGGACGGGGCAGCACGGTCTCTATGGGTTCCCCAGACTGTAACTCTTCATGGGAATAGATAGCCTCTTCTTTCTCCTGCAGAGCAGCTGGTGCTTTTGAACCACCGACTTTGTGGTTTGCAGCTCAATTTGTCCACTATGCTACCAGGCACATAATAAGTGCTCAGTATGTGGTATCTATCATCATCATCATCATGGTTTTATTGGAGATGAATCTGACCCGAGGCACTGAGTTTTCAGAGTCTGGAAGATAAATACTAGAATAAGTACCTGTGTGCTGGAACATTCTAGGTGAGCTTCTCTCCCCATGAGGAAATTGACTCACCCAGTACACCCCCTCACCCCCCACTGAGGTGACTGAGCATATCCAGGGCTCACTGTGCAGCCTCCAGCAATGGGGGGAACCCTCAGTTCTCATGGGGAACTTTGAGCCGAGATAGGACTCCACAGGGGTCACTGAGGATTCTGAGGGGGAGGCAGGAGGGTCCGGTTGGCTGCCCAGGATGAGGGTGACCTGTCTCCCCTCAACAGATGTTCGTTCCTGGATGAGAAGCCATGCATCCCTTGAAACACCCCCAATGCAGACTGCCTAGTCAGTCACTGTGGAATAGGCCATCCTGTGTGTCAGAGGGGACCTGGGGCCCGTCGCGTTTACAGAAGCTGGTCTTACCAAAGCCTGTCTCCAGGCCTTTCTCTCAAGGTGCCTTGAAGTGGGCTCAGTCTCCGACCCTTTGGTTAACTGCTGCGTTGGCTAACTGTTGGCACCCCCTGGGCGCACTATATATCCCCCCCTCCGCCTACACGCCCTGTGGCTATCGAGTCGACTGTAGAACACAGCGGACTGCCCGGTATGTAGAAGCCCAGCAGGACTTCCAAGACTATAATCCTCACAGAGACAGACTGCCATATCTTTCTCCTGGGTCCAAACTACCAGCCATTCAGTTCCCAGCCAAGCGCTTCACTGCCGTGCCACCAGGGCTCCTCTGCAGCTCCCCTAGGAGGCTTTATTTAATGACGCGGTCAGGGAGGTGATGGGGAACTGGAGAGTCAGGACAGTGGTGCAGAGGAGGTGCTGGCAGCTGTCTGGGCAAAGGAAGGAGCAGGTGGAGGAGAGGATTAAAAGTGAGTCCTTGGCTGAGACGGCTGGGGGAGGGCTTGTGGCTGGAGAGCGAGCCGTGGCCCAGGCCCATCAGTTGATTTGTATTGGAACCAGCTTCTAAGCAGCCCTGCCCAGCTTCCAACCCGTGCAATGCTGAGTCATGAACAGCAGCCGTCTGACTGGTAGTAGTCACAGGATTACTAGCAACAGCAGTGGTACTGGTACTACTAGCATAAGTCGTCCATAGGAACAACTGTGAGGGTGGCCCAGGCCCAGGCAGTATTTCTGTCTGCTGTGCCTTGGGTCTCTAGGGTCAGAGCAACAACAAAGCAGCTGCAGCAGTAGCAACAGTAGCACTAGGAACAGCAGCACTGCTAGTGGTAACAAGGATGGGGGCAGGATGTGTCCTTGCAATAACAGCCGGAGTCACCGCAGCAGCAGTAATAACAGCAGCAGCAGCAGCGGTACGACTAGTAGTAACTACAGTGGCAGCAGTACTGCTATCAGCAACGATAGCAGTAGTAGCAGCGGTAGTACTACTAGTAGTAATAGCAGCAGTAGCAATATTCTTATTAGCGGGAGTCGTAGAAGTAGACGTAGCTTAGTACTACTCCTCACAGCAGCCCTACTAGATGTTGTTACCGGTAATCACAACAGCAGTAGCAGTACTTGTCATGGCAATGCAGTCGTGGTGGCAGCAGCAGTCCTAGGAATAGCGATGCGAGCGGTCGTGGTAGCAGCAGTGCTACGAGTAGCCGCCGCCGCAGCAATAGCAGCAGGAGTGACAACAGCAGCAGCAGTACTCGTCTAGCAACCGCAGCAGTGGCCGTAGCAGCAGCAGGATGACGAGAGCCAATAGCAGCAGCAGCAGTACGACAAGGAGTGCAACACGTCCGTACTGTTGTCCGCTGCAGAGGCAGCAGGACTCCTAGCAGTCACGTCGCAGCAGAGTAGCAGTAGTCCTGCAAGCAGCAATAGCAGCAGCCGCAGTCGTCGTCGCAGCAGTACGACTAGCAGCAACAGCAGCCGCTGCAGTCATCGTCGCAGCAGTACAACTAGCAGCAACAGCAGCACTAGTAGTAGCAACAGCAGTACGACTAGTAGCAATAGCAGTATGAGTAGTAGCAATAGCAGTACGAGTAGTAGCAATAGCAGTACTAGTAGTAGCAACAGCAGTACGACTAGTAACAATAGCAGTATGACTAGTAGCA